AGAGAGAGAGAGGAAAGTTATATAATTTCCCAAAATCAAATTGAATGACATACACAACCCCTCCAAACGCTTTATATCCCTCGCGGCTCTGATATAAAAATAGCGACAAATAAACACTAATATTAACAAAAGTATTGCCGGAAATATGAGAAACCAACGGACGATTGCGTTCACTATAAGACTTCCAAGAATTACACATAAATTCTATGGGTATTTATAAAATGTATTATATAAAGTGTGATATCATAAGTAGATAATTAAATATTACAATGAGACATTCAAAGGCAACCGATGGTAACACTTCGTCCACAATTCCCGTGTCTTTTGAAAATCTGTTTAGTATTCGTCCTAAAAGTAAACGTAAAATTAGTTTACATTTATTAATTTAATATAAACAGTGTTACCGATTGGCGAACTCTCGAACACATGTATCGGTGATCGCAATAATGCATAGAATATTCGGTTATAGAGATTAACCGAAGATCTCATACACATTATGTAGAAACAAATGGTGGACAACAGGGCCGACACAAACAGACCACTGATTAGATTTGTGTAGACAATTATATTGAATGTTTGATCCACTTTATCAGGCGTTTTGCTCATTTCATTAGTCCTAATATATTGAATTAAATTTATATTAAAACTTTTAAATAATAATAGTACTGACCATAAGTTTAACCAATAAACACTTCCTTGATAAAGCACTTGAGAAGCGATCAAAAACAAAATGGTAAGAATTACGAGCAGAGGTCCGGCGCCGGCCTTAATGTACTCCATATAGACAGTAGATTCAACGGATCCAATTATTTTAAGTTCGGCTTTCACGTCTTGGTCGTCCACTTCAATCGGTTCCCAAACGTCCATTACATTTGATCCCTCACTAATAGATGAGACCATCGATGGTGTGACAGATGTTCTCCGATTCATATCATTTGGTCCATCGGTTTGTCTCTGATATGACATGAGATCAATGCCGCGCTCTTTGAGCTGAGTGTAGGACCCGATGGCCACACACTCGCCGTCGTTGAGCACAAGTATTTG